TGTATGTTACACTAGTTAGATCGGTAACGGAGTATGGATGTATACTTTGGTCACCTCAATATAAAATCCATATCGACAGATTAGAGGCGATACAACGAAAATTTCTTAATTGTGTTAAGCATAAATTGCCTAACAATTTACAAATAGACTTCAATTACAATTTAAGTTTGAGCTATCTTGGAATGACAACATTATGTACTAGACGAAAATACTTTCAACTTTGCTTTGTTTTTAGAGTCATGAACAATCTTTTGGACTGTAACGAAATTCTGCATTCCCTATTTTTTTATGTTCCGCAGTTTGCTGTGAGGAGAAGTCCATTGTTTAGTATAGAAAGCTGTAGGAGAAACTATACTTTAAATTCTCCATTGAACACAGCACTCCGTACTTGCAATGAGTTCTCGGATTCATTGGATTTTTTTAATTGTCAATCTTATGCTGTTTTTAAAAATCGTGTCCATCATTTACTGTGTTCTTAAAGTTACTGTAAATGTAATCTGTATCATTATTATTGTAAATGGGATACTTACTTGCCCGTGAATATAGATTATCATTATTATAGCGACATTAGGTTTTGTGGTGTGCTAATATCTGCATCAAAGAATGTTATATTTAGTTTTAGTTTTAGTTTTATTTCATGTACATCCTAAATTTTTAGTTATAAGTTACTTAATGAATTGCTTTCATGTTTTATGTAATAGGAGTTTCTTTCCGTTAATAAACTATTATTATTATTATATTATTATTATTATTATATAGGAATAAAATTGACTAGAAAAAATGTCATCATATTTTTAACGTTTTAGTGTTTTACTTTCGACAAATTGACACTAGATTTACCCGAATATTACAAGCTGCTTACTGTTTTTTCCGCTTTAATTAAGGTCACACGAATTACAGTTCGTCGTCTGAGAACTTGTTTGATCTACAGACCAGAGGGCACTCAGGCCAATGTTCGACCATAATTTCTTGTTGCTTCAACTTTCGAATTCACAATTTTTCGAAATTTTAGTTTGGGGACTTTTCAGTTTACTGCTATTTATTATTCAATTTTTGGACAATTTCTCAATTTTTCAGTTTTTCGGTTTTCAGATCTTATCTTCAATTTTACGATTTTTAAATATTTCGCTTTTTCAATTTTTGACTTTTATAAACTCTTTATTTGTCGATTTTTCTATTAATTAATTTTTCAGGTTTTTGGTTCTTCAATTTTTCAATTTTTTTAGGTTTCGATTTTTCAACTTCACTTTTTTGATTTTTCTATTTCTCAATTTTTCTATTTTTTTATTTCTCATTTTTCGGACATTTCAGTTTTGGGATTTTTCAGTTTACTTATTATTCAATTTTTCGATCTTAGGATGTTGCAGGTTTCTGATTTTTCAATTTTTCGATTTTTTTAAGGTTTCGATATTTCGACTTCACTTTTATGATTTTTCGATTTCTCAGTTTTTCGTTTCTTTAGATTCTCAGTTTTTGGATATTTCAGTTTTGGGATTTTTCAGTTTTTCGATTGGTCGGTTTTTCTTTCATTTTTCAGTTTTTCGATATTTCAGTTATAGTATTTTTTCAATATTTTGGTTCGAATTTTCCATTTTTGATTTCTGGATTTCTCGATGTGTCGACTTTTTACTTTTTCGATTTTTAAATTTTAGATTTCTCAATTTTTTGGTATTTTAATTTTTCAATATTTAAAATTTTAGATTTTTCGATTTCTCGATTTTTCATTTCGCTGTTCCATAATTCAATTTTTCAAATGTTTCGATTTCTTAATCTAATGATTTTTCGACTTTCAATTCTCGTTTTTTCAAATTTTCGATTTTTCAATTTTTCTATTTTTCAATTAATCGATGTTTCGATTTTCCTATTTCTTGACTTTCGAGGGTTTCGATATTCCTGTTCTTCAATTCTTTAATTTTTCGATTTTTCAGGTTTTTGATTTTTTTTTTTTTGGTTTTTTAATGGTTTCGATTTTTCGACTTCACTATTGGATTTTTCGATTGCTCAATTTTTCGACTTTTTAAGTTCTCAGTTTTTGGATATTTCAGTTTTCGGATTTATCAGGTTTTCCATTTTTCAGTTTTTCTTTAATTTTTCAGTTTTTCGATATTTCAGTTTTGGGATTTTTCAGTATTTCTATTCTGCAACTTTTCGATTTTTGACTCTTGGATTTTTCGATGTGTCGATTTTTTTGCTTTTTCAATTTTTCAATTTTTCGATTTTTAAATTTTAGATTTTTTAATTTTTAAATTTTTCGATTTTTCGATTTCTCGATTTTTCATTTCAGTTCTTCGATATTTCAATTTTTCAAGTTCTCGAATTTTTCAAAAATTTTGTCACATTTTCGATTTTTTAATTTTTCAAATTTGATTTTTATAAACTCTCGATTTTTCGATTTTTCAATTAATCGATGTTTTGATTTTCCCATTTCTTGACCTTCGAGTATTTCGATTTTCCTGTTCTTCAATTCTTTAATTTTTAATTTTTCAGGTTTTTGATTTTTCAATTTTTCGATTTTTTAAGGTGTCTGTTTTTCGACTTCACTTTTTTCAGTTTTTAGATATTTCAGTTTTACGATTTTTTAATATTTCAATTCTTCGGCTTTTCTATTTTTGACTTTTGGTTTTTTCGATGTGTCGATTTTTATGCTTTTTCAATTTTTCAATTTTTCGATTGCTTAATCTTTCGATTTTTCGACTTCCAGGTTTTAGATTTTCTGTTTTCAATTTCCGTTTTAAATTTTTCGATTTTTCCATGTTTTGATTTCCCGATTTAGTTTCCCATTTTTAGTTTTTCTTCTATTTTTTCTATTTTCAGTTTTTCGATGTTTCAGTTTTGGGATTTTTCAATATTTCGATTCTTTGACTTTTCGATTTTTGACTCCTGGATTTTTCGATGTGTCGATTTTTTTACTTTTTCGAGTTTTCAATTAATCGATGTTTTGATTTTCCCATTTCTTGACTTTCGAGGGTTTCGATATTCTTGTTCTTCAATTCTTTAATTTTTCGATTTTTCAGGTTTTTGATTTTTCTTTTTTTAGTTTTTTTAAGGTTTCGATTTTTTGACTTCAGTTTTTGGATTTTTCGATTGCTCAATTTTTCGACTTTTTAGGTTCTCAGTTTATGGATATTTCAGTTTTCGGATTTTTCAAGTTTTCCTTTTTTCAGTTTTTCTTTCATTTTTCAGTTTTTCCATATTTCAGTTTTAGGATTTTTCAATATTTCGATTCTTTGACTTTTCAATTTTTGACTCCTGGATTTTTCGATGTGTCGATTTTTATGCTTTTTCAATTTTTCAATTTTTCGATTGCTTAATCTTTCGATTTTTCGACTTCCCCGTTTTAGATTTTCTATTTTGCAATTGTCACTTTGTCAAATCTTCGATTTTTTAATTAATCGATGTTTTGATTTTACCATTTCTTGACCTTCGAGGGTTTTCATTTTCCTGTTCATCAGTTCTTTAATTTTTTGCTTTTGCAGGTTTTTGATTATTCAATTTTTCGATTTTTTAAGATTACTATTTTTCGACTTCACTTTCTTGATTCTTCGATTTTTCAGTTTTTAGATATTTGAGTTTTAGGAATTTTCAATATTTCAATTCGGCTTTTCTATTTTTTACTTCTAGATTTTTCGATCTGTCTACCTTTTTACTTTTCCGATTTTTCAATTTTTGGATTTTTAAATTTTAGATTTTTCAATCTTTTGATGTTTTAATTTTTCAATATGACTTAATCTTTCGATTTTTCGACTTCCTGGTTTTAGACGTTCTGTTTTTCAATTTTTCAATTTGTTAAATTTTCTTTCCCGATTTATCGAGATTTAATTGTTCAGATTTTCGATTCATCAGTTTTTCAATTTTTTGTTTTGGCCTATTTCGGTTTCTCAGTTTTTCTAGTTTTCCATTTTTTCGTTTTTTGATTTTTCCGCTTTTCCATTTTTTCAACTTTTAACTTCTTGTTTGTGGATTTCTCTATTTTTCGATTTTTCGACTTCATCACTTTTCGATTTGTCGTTCTTTTGATCAATCTCTCAATTTTTCAATTTTTCGAATTTTTAAGTATTTTGATTTCTAGATATATCGAGATTTGGCTTTTTCGATATTTTGATTGTCAATTTCTCAATATATAAATTGTTCTTATAATTTTTAATTTTTCGGTTTTTCGATTTTGGCCTATTTCGGTTTCTGAATTGTTCGACTTTTGGACTCCACGATTTCTCTATCTTTTGATTTTTCGATTTTTTAATTATCCGATTTTTTAAATTTGGGAGTTTCGATTTTTCGTTATTCGGTTTTTGAATTTTAGATTTTTGAATTTCACATTTTTTCGATTTTCTGATGTTTCATTTTTCGATTTTCAGATCTTCGATATTTCGATTTTTCAATGTTTCGGTTTTACGATTTTTTAAGGTTTCGATTTTTGTATCGAAAACAACCACAAAAATTGTCATAAAAGCATTTAAACATTCATACAAAATAGAACAGTGTTTCCAAAACATTTTCCCGAAAAGAATCCATTGGGTTATTACGATTTGAACAATATTCTTAGCTTAAGACGTTTTGCTAGTATAAAACACAAATAAAGAATTAATTCTTAGTTAAACAAAATATGTAAAATCATCTAAATATGTACCAAAAATATTCAGTTAATTAGCCTCTATCGTTTAAAAAGTACTTATAAAAGGTTCATTATTGCTAACTTAAATTCGAGTGTGAACAAATATCACAATTTTTTTCACTTGATTGAATCGGCGGCCATTTTAATAGTGCAAAAAGTCTATTCAAACCACGTGATTTGTGTTTTTTATCAATATATATATTAAACAAAACATAACTTTACCTGTTTTCACGTGTTTGTATTGGTGGATTTTCGATTTTGTCACTAAGTTTTGTCTGCGACTTTACTCTTGTATTGATTTTGAATGTTTTTTTGAGTATTGTCGCGTCTATATTCTTTATACGTTTGTGGTCCACAGTTTTGATTAATAAGACCGCATGGTCACATGGTCACAGGTTTATGGTTATGATAATAATTGACAGTTGGTAAAAGTTAGTTTTTGGGGTGTTCACGGGGGTTGTTGGTGATTTTTTTGCCTCTGTGCCATTCTGCAGTTGTCATTACCTGTTATTGTTTAATTATTTAGTGGTTACATCGTCCAAAGTATGTCATGTAGTTTTAACCATAATAATAGTAGAGGTAGAAATTAAAAAATACAATAAGTACATGATGTGATTCTGGCTATGGTGTTTTTTTATTCGTTTAATTAGTTGTATTGGACAATTGCTACCGTAGAACACTTGTTAGTTGAAAAAAACATGGTGAGTTTGTTGGCTATTTGGTAAACAAGATACTGATCGAACACATTGTTTCCAGTCTGTAGCAGAATTTTTAAAAGGACTTCCTTCGTATAACGAAAATAATTTTACCAAGTTTCATATTGACAGTAACTCCAGATCTCCACTGAGACGGCCGTCGGTATATATACCAACAAAGGATTTTCCTTCAGAACAAAGTAAGTTATTAGTTTTGTATTTAACGTATTTGATTATTTGTATTAATTTGTTATTTCTCTTTTCTAGTAATAGTAACAGAAAAAACAAGTATATTACTTAAATACATGCAAACCCATTGGGATAAAAAGGTGAGACAGTTTGTAAAAGCATGCCAGAATTATATTGATTTTATGAGGTGCTTAATAATGAAGCATTAATACCTTGGGCTATTAAAGATAAGGTCAATAGGAGATGACTATTGTCTATTTATTGCTTATCTTTGTGTTGTGGGAAAATACAGTACTAAGTATCAAAGGTTATAACATCAAAAAAGTCCAGCAAAATTTTTAAGTTATTATAATCCATAAAGTGTAAAATGATGTTTGCAAAGGGCAGTGTATAATAATAAGGCTATAATTTCAGCCCAGCTTGAGTTAACACTATTATCGGTTCACGATCTTTATATAGTAGGGTTGGCCATGAAAATTTAGTGAGTTTGTTGGTATTCGATGCAGAAGAATAAAAATTCCCTGAACTTTTTTCATTAGGTTATGTTTCATTAAATTAAAGGTTAAAAAATATGCCAGAAATATAAACATTGTTGCCGATACTTTCAGTTTTCAGTAGCAATGACCAAGTTAATGGTATCCATATAAAACTTTACGCTATTTAAAACAGTTATTCTGCTTTTTGTAAGTGTTTATTTCATATGTCAGGAACAAACACTAAAATTTCACTTAAACATTGTGTTTATATGAAGGGGGGTTCTACATACAACTATTGTCGCATGCTACATTTAGCATCTCATTTTAATTCTCAATCATCAGTTCGTTCTGCTCGCCCACTCTTCTTAGAAATGGAAATTTCGACCTTTGTGAATAGCTGATTTCCATATTTTCCAACTTCTTTTTTCACTTTTCTAAGATTACTAAAAGGGTTGGTAAAATTGTTGTCTTTTGAATTTAAACCTTTTTTTACCAAGTGTTTACTAACGTACGGTGACTAGGTAAGCTGAAGTGCTTTCCCTTTAGACGAAAAAAATAAATAAAAAAAATGTATTGTGCTGCTAAGCAACAAACTGAAATGTTTAAGAAAAAAAATCTGATTTTACTTACAAAAAGAACGCTACTCTGAAATCGAGGTTTTAGATGTCTAAATCAATAGAGTAAGTAATACGTTCGAATTTTACACTTTCTTGGGTCAAATGTTTGTTCTAAAAGTGGACATATGCAATATTCTAGTTTTTTTGCACATTCAGTCAGAAAACCTTATCGTCTATTTTAATTTTGAAATTAAAAATGTCTGCTGTGTACAAATTAGTTCGTTTAAATCACTCAAAGATTTAATAAATGATATTATATATTATTATTAATTTTTTAATAAATTATATTTTGAAATTTTGCTTTTGACTTTACGAAATTAAAAATACATAAGGCCAAGGATATTTTTAGTTACGTCAGCAGTTTTTACTTATCAGTGACTCATAAGGCAACAACGATTGGCTCATACGTTCACAGAGGTAATTAATGAATACCAAATAGTCCAAAATCATTCTGTTATGTTCATCTCTGTGTTGTGCATACAAGATCATGTTAAAGTTTGACCTACTAAATCAAACTTATAATAATAACTTAAGTCATTACTTTTTAAAAATTGGGTTTATTCATTTATTAGGTATGGTAGCATAAACAGAAAAAACAAGTAGTTTCATTTATTTTATTAAATGTTAAAAAAAACGGTAACTCTAAACATAAAAGTAAAGCATTTCTATTGGATCATAAGAAAATATCACAAAATAAAACAACTTCTTAAAAAATACTTACCCCATAACCTGGGTTGAGATTTGTGTATATAATGTAGATGATGTTGAAGTAAAAAACTGCTAAATTCTAGCTACTCATAAATACAGATGATAGCACTTTTAATTTGTTCACAACTTTCAAATGAAGCATATTAGAAAAAAAACTTTTGAAATGCAAAATTTAACACGTAAGATTTTTTTTTTTTGCACAATAAAGGAGTGGATAACGCGACTTGATAAATTTTCAGAGGTAATTTTCCCCTTTAAAAGTGTTCATGGGCAGCTAGAATTTTGCACGGTTTCTTACTTTAGTATTCTCTACGATATATACTTGTACAAATCTCGACCCAAGTTGAGGTTACATTATCACAAATTTTAATCACATCACTTAAAAAAAAAACTAGAATTAGATCAAATATTTTTTCAATAATTTTTTTCCAAAAACTAAACTGCCTCTTCTGAGTGCCTGAGGTGGAGGTAGTTTCATTATATATTCATTTTCTTGGATCTCCCCCTGATCTTTAATGTCCGGAAACATAAAAGCATCCGGAATTTTTGGATTCCTTTTCAAAAAATCGCAAAAATAGGGTTAAGTGATAACACTTTACCAATGTAATATTTTTTGTTTTGTTTTTGAGTTGTTAATTGTACTATAATATAATCGTCTATATTTAAGTCTGGTTTAGAGCGATCAGTTTTACTATTTTCAGCCTTGAGATTCAAACGAGGATTCAAATCATCAGAATAATTGGAAGAATTCAAACTTTCGGTGTCCGTGCTGTCATCATATTCGATACTACTTGGGTTGTCTACATTAGATGAATCACTTGATATATTATAACGTCTTTTTTGTTTTCCAATTTGGACTGGTTTTTGAATTTGAGATGCATCTTTATGTTGAAGGCAGGTATCTGTTTCTGAGTTAACTCTACTACTATTACATTTCTCATTTTGAATAAATCTTTTGAGACGATCCACACTGACGCGATACTTTTCATTGTCTAACAGCCAGCAAAGTGAGGACTTTTTTATAACTTTTGTTGTATAATCTAAGCGTATTCTGACTAGATCACCTTTCTCAACAAAATTATCGTCACTATCAAAACTTCTAAGGTGTATGTCTCTGTCAAATTTCTTAGATTCGTACGAAATTGTGCAAAGATCATTCAATAAATCTTCATCTTGGTCAACTGGATCGTTTTCCAAACTTTGAAAACAGTTACGTTTCATGGCTATTTGAGAATTTTTGTAATTTTCAATGTGATCGCACTGTTCTTCACTAAACATTTCATCTTCAACTTCGTCATTGCATTCATTGTCTTTACACGGAGGCAAAAATACATAGTTGAAATCAATCACTTTCATTCCTAAATCTTCAGTGTCACGCAGACAATCCCGTAAAGCTGATTCTACGGTGCTTTGTATATCTTTATCTGAAATGTTGCCTAAGTCATCATTTTTCACAAAATCTCTCTTCATGAGATTATCAATTATCCAAATCGTTTTTAATGTTGTTTATAGTTTGCAGTCTGTCACTTCGATGCAACATATCTCTTATACTAAAATTAACAATTGTGGTAAAAGTTGAGGTCATTGATCTAAGGCTTCTAAACATACTCTCACAAGTTTGAGAGCTAAACTTCCAAGGCAAGAACATATCATCAGTAAGATTTTTGCACGACCTGAACTTAATGAATTTGGTACCTCATATCACAAACTCAATTTTTAAAAACTAATTTGGGGTGAAATTATAAATTTAGTTTGTAGGTATAAAGCAATATTAACTACAACTTTAATATTTGTCAAGCTGAAATATCATGCTGTCAGTTAATGATATTATACTGGAATTTTCCATCATTATGCCCTTAAAAGGTTATTTAATCTCCACTTTTAAGATTAAATTGATATTTTCCTTCTTATGATGAATGCTATGACTTACGTCGTACATGTTACGTTTATTAGTTCTAGAAAATATCTAGTTTAGCTGGATTTGCTATGATGATTTTGGATTTCCTTTGTTTTCTTGTTGATTTCTTGTTAATTTCTCATTGATTTCCTCTTGATTTCTCGTTGATTTCCTCTGATTCCCTTTTTGATTTCCTGTGATTTCCTTTGATTTCCTCTAGCGTGTACAATTGATTTCCTCTGCGGTTTCCCCTCGATTTTGATGGATCCATGTTTCATCCAAATACACGAAAGTCAAATTTTCACAAGAATTTAGAAACTGTAAATATGTTCTCAAAAAAGTAATTTTTGCTGCAACGACATGTTTTTGTTCACATAGAATTTTGCGACCATTTACTTCCCTGTGTTTATAACCCATTGACTTAAGAATTTGGTATAATGTGATCTCCAAAACAAGAGAGGATTCATCTCCAATTTTTACTTCCCGAGCGTAAGCAAAGGAAGTATTGTAATCGAGTCCGTCGGCCGACTCTCTACTTTTACGTTTTCTCGATCTTTCATGACCCCTAGAAGACGAAGAAATAGGTCTCCCATTTCCGTCTGTCTGTCCGTCTGTCCGTCCGTCTGTCCGTCTGTTGTCCCGGATTTTTATTAGACAGATAATCTCCGAAAGTACTCGACCGATTGTTGTGAAATTTTGTACTTATATTAAGAATATCATGTAGATGGTAAAACGCTAACCAAAATTTGTCTAATCATCCCCACTACTAATGCGATGACGTCACTTCAAAATTGTACATAGTAAATGGGTTTTCAATTGTATAAAATAACATAGTCCTACACAGTTTACAACTCCGAATCGACTTTTCACCCGAAACGTCCAGATTTTTGGAAAAAAAATCAAAATTATAAAACAACATTTTGAAATTTAATTTTTAATCTGCTAACCAGAATGCTTTGAAATGTTGCAGATGTTTTAAGGCTATAAAGAGCATCATAAATCTTTAGTCAAAAAATATTTGCTTATCCCCTCCAAAAACTTGATGACGTCAGCTCAAAAGTTTGTGGAATAAATCATATCTAAAATGTACAAAATATGATGAGTCTGTACTTGTCATTTATCACTCCATTCATATTTTTTGGATTTGCATATACAGAGTGACTCAAAAAAATTAATGAATGCGTAAATATATTTTATTGATTTAATCAGGAACTACAAAACGGAATGCTCTGACATCTTGCAGATGTTTTAAGGTTATAAAGAGCATAATAAATGTTTAGTCAAAGTATATTTGCTTATCCCCTCCAAAAACTTGATGACGTCAGCTCGAAAATTTGCCGAATAAATCATATCTAAAATGTACAAAATATGATCAGTCTGTACTTGTGATCTATTACTCCATTCATATTTTTTGGATTTGCATATACAGGGTGATTCAAGAA